AAGAAAAGTTCTTTACAAATTACAAGTTCTGCCTTATCCTTGGGAGAGGTAATAAGATCAGTCCCATGAATGAGAGATGGAATGTTAGATCTACCCTTGATAATAGTGCTGTTGATGATTTTCCAAAAGTTTTTTAGAGCCTAACTTCTGTGATAAGATGCGAGATTTAGTGAACTGAGAATAATGGAGCTAAGCATCAATAAGCACCTTTTTACATCAATTTCTTGCAAAAATAAATAGCCGTTTGTTCTCAAGAGAGTTGTTCTTTTAAAAAAGATGAAAAAAATGATTCCGATTGGATATAGCAGCCGCACAAAAAAGAGAAAACCATGGAGTAGAATGAGGCTTGACTTAAAACCGACGAGAAGGAATAAAAGCTTCCATTCCAGCCTGAATCCAGGAGGTTACATAGGAGGCGCATTTATCAGCTGAGAGAGAAAAAACATCAGCCCAAGGACCATCACGAAGAAAATCATGAAAAGAATCTTAGTCCGCTTTAGGGTAGTAGTAGATGGTGCGATGATAAGATGAGTCCAAAAAAGAAGTACAAGAAGAAAGATTTATAGAGATCATTGCATGGTCAGAACCACCTAAGGGAGAAACTGAACATAAGCTAGGGTCAGAGACAAGACATAAGTCAACGAGTGAAGGTAAATGATAAGAGTTGTCAGGAAAACGAGTCACAAAGTTAACTATCTGAGTAAGAGATTGATAAACGCAGAAGTTAAAGGCTTTAGTGCCAGCAAGATTAGTGGTGTTAGAGCCAAGTCATTTAGTGTGATAGGCATTAAAATCACCACCAACAACAATATTGGTAGAGAGGTAAAGAGAGAGGGCATGGTCAATTTGATCAGAGATAACATCTAAAAGAGTGCAATCATGGGAAGAAGGAGTACGATAAAGAACTAAGAGAAAGGTGATAGAGTGAAGAGGTGCTAGGCGAAAGCACATAAAAGAATGGTCAAAGGATTCGAACCTGATTTCACGACAAATTGAGGAATTAATGCGTATGTATACCCCTAAACCTAGCATGTGACTATTGGAGTCTTTACAAATCAAAGGATAGTACCCATCAACACTGACATCTGAAGAAGGAATTGCAGAATTTGTTTCACTGAGTGCAAGCAAGTCTGGTGAATTTTACAGGAGGTAAGACTCAACTGACGGAAAGTTGCTTCGCAGACCGCGAATATTTGTAAAAGATATATTAAAATATTTAGGTGATAGGGATGGTTTTTTAGGTTTAAAATTTTTGGTTACTTTGGTCATGATTTGGGTTTAATGAGAACTTGACTCATTCATAGATAGAACACAGCCTCCTAATCAATGAGCTATGCAGTTGTTTCAGTCCTGTTAATTAACCCTAAGCCGTGACATAGGGCTCCTTATGTGGCTTTGACAATGCACACCAAAAGTATTAACAGGGACACCATCATTGCGCAACATGGCACTGTTATTACTCTGATATTTTGCAGCTGCTGATAGAATCAGCCTCTCTGAGAGCTACCACAGAGTTCGGGAAGCCTTACTACCAGCCGGCCTCAGAACCATTAAACTGAGTTTTAGAGTTGTACCCTCATATGGAGGCAACAGGAACAGTTGCATAGCCATTATCAAGGAGACATAAACGAAATTCTATGAGTAGAGTCAAGAAGATCCAGCATTCATCATCCTAGGCAGGAGGCAATGTAACACAGGTTACATCTACGCCAGCCTAATAGATGAAGAAGGGGTTCGAGGCAGGTTAGCAGAATTTTTCTGCTTACTCCTATAGTCTTTGCCTAGGAGGCCTTCTACAAGTCAGTAGCTGGATGCAGTTAACATCCGCCCAAGATGAGTATTTTTATCGAGACACCATCTCTAGCCTTTACTCAACCAAGAGCCCCTAGGCAGGGAATGTTTAGCTGGATACAGTTAACATCTGCCCAAGATGAGTGTTTTTATCGAGACACCATCTCTAGTCTTTACTCAACCAAGAGCCCCAATGCTGGGGAATTTTTAGTCGGAGTTTATTTCTCCTAGCCTTTTCCTAAGAAGAGCACAATCTGCAAGGCAGCAGGGTTTGTGGCTGGTGGTACTAGGTTACGTGATACCAGTAGCAAGATTGATCTTGATTATCCTGACCTGACCTGGAGTAGTTAAAAGGAGTTACTTCCCGCAACAGTACTTTGAGAAAACCAGGCATGACATTTTAAAAGTGCATTAGAAAAAACACCGCATCTAACAAAATAGGTCTAAGGTGACTGTAGGTTTTGTAATTGGAGTAAGTAGATAGTTACTGAGCTCACGCTGCATCAGAGAATAAACAGAACACAAACAAAAATAAATCAACTAACGGGTGAGTCAACACCGCGCTAGAGGTTCAGACAGAACACAAACATACATAAAAAACATAAAGTAACTTACGAGTGAGCGAACACCGCGCCAGAGATTCAGACAGAACACAAACATACATAAAAAAAACATAAAAAACATAAAGTAACTTACGGGTGAGCGAACACCGAGCTAGAGGTTCTGACAGAACACAAACATACATATAGAGTAGATTACAGGTGAGCTAATACAGTAACTAAGGCACCTCCAACGTATAAGTTGTGACATCTCGTTACAAAGTATAAGTTGTGTCTACTAAGTATAACTCGTTACAACGAGTTATAACTAAGTATAAATTATGTTTACTAAGTATAACTCGTTACAACAAAGTTACTAAGTATAACTCGTTACAGCGTATAAGTTGTGGCATCTCAGTAACTAAGGCACCTCCAATTTATAATTTGTGGCATCTCGTTGTCCTTTCTGTGTTTATTTAAATCATCTAGAACTATCAGATTCGTAGAGGGTCCATCTATGGAAACTTGATACATTTTACTTGAATCAAATCTTGCTAAGTTTTCGTTGAAATGTGTAAGAAGGTCAGAAGCTTTAACTTTGAAATGATAATGTCCAATATCTCACTTTAACTTTGCCATTGTCGTCCCAATACCGAACAAGTAGATCTATCTGAAAAGTTTGGGTTATGTCGTTTAAACTCTCATTAAAAAATAGAATGTAACAATCAGACTTTGTGGCTAGTCCATGGTTAACAATCTATGATACTTTTAAGGTGCTCATAGTGAAATCTTCTGCTACCTTGCTATCAGGAAACATCTTTTTAAAAGTGTCGTTTATATTTGCACATGAGTTATTAGAGTAGCAGCTCATTGTAGATTTCAGGGCCCATATGATCTCAGCATTAGTTGAGAACAATAATTTAATTAAAGAGACAATAGTTGCTTGTTTTTTGGTAAAAAAAATGTGGATATTTTTTTTCACTTCCAAGTAGTTCAGCATGCAACTCTATTCCATTAATAAAGAAACAACTAACAGGCTTTGTAGCAGACTGATGCTTCTTACCTAAAACAAGATAAATAAATAATTAAACATTTAAGTTTAAAAAATGTCTAATCTTTTTTATCCATTTGTTTAGCTTGCAAAGTTTGAAATAACAATATAAGCAACCAACCAACAAGGAAAACAACTGCAACAGGTTGCAATCAGAAGTTGATTACAATGTGTTTGAAACTGATAATAAAATATAAAATAATGAATCAATCAAGCAACATTTCTTACTATACATTTCTTATTTATACTATACTATAGTATAGGAGCTATAGATGGCAAACATATAGTTATGCAGGCTCAGGCTCTTTCTACTTTAACTATAAAAAATCGCATTTTATTGTTTTGATGGCTGTTTGCAATGCAAACTATGAATTCTCTAATTGTATAGGCTATACAATTAGAGAAGATCCATTTCCTTTCAAACTCATTTGCTATAGTCGGACTTATTCGAAACATACCAGTTAGATCTATTTGCAAAGTGCCTCCAAAAATGTATCTCAAAGTGACCATTAATCGTTCACTAGCTCCAAATGTTTCACGCCTGAGGGAAGATTTTGTTATCACCGGTGCGATTAGACTTAAATATTGCTCATACTTTGTAGGTATCATTCTAAAAAACTTAAAAAAATATTCGTGATCAAAAATTTGCATATTTTTTATAAATAAACTGAATTCTCCTTTTAATTTTCTCTCTCTAAATAATTTTCTAACCCACATCCGCTTTTTATACTTTTGTCTTCTTTTGATTTTTAAATAATATATATATTATTTAAAAATCAAAAGAAGACAAAAGTATATATATACTATATAGTAATAACAGCTGACCAACATTGTGAGGCGTTTAACAACGAAATAAATGAATGGATCAAAGAAGGTATACTCATCAAATATGACGATAAAATTAAGGGAAAACCTAAAGGTCTACTACCGTTAATGTGTGTCATTCAAGTTAATGAAAAGAAGATAAGACCTGTGCTTGATTATCGTGAGCTTAACACGTATGTAAAAGCCTCTACAAGGGATGCTGATGTCATCAATGATGCAATGAGGGAGTGGAGACTCATGAGTAAAAACAGCAATGACTCGGTAGTGGATCTAAGAAGAGCATATTTACAAATTCATGTGCATAAAAGGCATTGGCCTTACCAGACGGTCATCTATAAAAATCAGCGATATGCACTTACACGTTTGGGCTTTGGTTTAAGTTTGGCACCAGTGATGATGAGCTCAATATTGCGGTATGTTCTCCAACAAGATTCTGCACTGGCAAAAACAACAAAAGGATACGTTGATGACACCCTAGCAACCAATGGAAATGGAAGAAAGCTGGTGATACATATGAAGAAATGGGGTCTTCATGCAAAAGCACCTGAATATTTTGGAAAAAACCCAGTTCGTGCACTAGATTTAGAAGTCACAGTAAATCGATTAACAAAGGAGATGTTTTGGAAGAGAGCACGCGAGCTTCCTATTTTAAATCTGTGCTCACAAAGAGGGATATATTCTCATTATGTGGTAATCTGATTGCCAATCTACCAGTTGCTGGATGGTTGAGACCGGCATGCAGCTATATAAAAAGATGTACAAACGAAGCAGGTTGGGATGAACCTATTACGAATATGATGCAGGAAGTTGTAGATAAAATCGTAAAGTGCGATCCGGCAAAAGGTGTATGGAATGTTAAACCAAATGCATCTCTGACTGTATGGTGCGATGTAAGTTCGCTGGCAAAAGGAGTTGTGATAATGCAAGGTGACAGAAAGATAAAAGATGCGGCATGGCTCCGACCAAAGTCTGATGCAATGCATATCAATGTGGCCGAATTAGATGCATGTATTGAAGGTCTAAATATGGCATTGAAATGGAATCCAAGTGATGTCTCCATTAAAACTGATTTTCATAGTGTATTTAGTTGGTTAAATTCTGAATTGACTCGTGACAAACCTGTGAAATATGCTAAGCAATGCGAAATGTTAATTCGACGAAGACTTCAAATATTTGAAAAATTGGTCGAGGATTATGTCATAAATGTAACTGTTACATGGGTACCAACAACTAAAAATATTGCAGATGAACTCACAAGATTGCCAACAAAATGGATAAAAAACAAAGTTGCCACACAAGAATGTAATACCATTTATAAGTATGATAAACAGCAGATTCGAAAAATTCATTCACTAGCACACATGGGAGTTTCCAAGAGTATGGAGTTATGTATGCGCGCTGGTATCCACGTTACCAGAGACACAGTGAAACAGGTTGTCGCTGAATGCGATGAATGTAACTCGATTTACCCTAATGTGATGTTGTGGGATAAAGGAAATCTTGCTGTTAGCAAAGTATGGGAAAGAGTAGCCTGCGATGTTACTCATGTTGATTCATCGCTTTATCTCACTTGCATTGATTGCGGCCCAAGCAGATATACGTTATGGACACCATTAAGCAACGAAAATGCAACTATGGTTGTTCAAGCGTTAGAAACAATACGGTCAACACTTGGACCTTCTTCTGAAGTTCTTCTAGATAACTCTAAGTCACTTAGATCTCAGCTTATGCAAACTATGGCTGCGAAATGGGAAATAAGGCTCATCTATCGAGCTATTGAAAAACCATCGGGAAATGGAGTAGGTGAAGAGTTCATCGGACGGTAAAAAGAACAAATGCAAGAGTAAAATGTGGTATTCCCATGTCAGTATTTTTAATCAATAACGTTCCATCAAAACACGGCACACCTTTTGAAATATTTTGCCAACATCACAAACGAGTTCGAAAAGAAGAAGATACAACAGATGATTATGATTCAACACTATTTAAACTTCCCGAAACGAGCTCAAAACACATTGTCAATGATGACCCAAATCTTCAAATAATTCCTCCGGATAATGGTAAAAATGACAATAGTACGGGCAGCGATCAAAACTATTCAACAGATGGTGAGACAGAGTCACAGCCTGTTCAATTCACTCGCTATGGAAGGAGAGTACTTCCTAATCGGAAGTACAACGATTACGTATGAGCTCTTGTTGAGCTAAGGGGGATGTTGTGTGTCATTAATAATTAGCGTGCTAATTATTGACAAAAGTCACAAGTTGTGATTTTCTTTTATTATAACGTTTTTTATTAATTATCGACAAGAGTCACAAGTTGTATTATATGCTATATAAAGCGAACAACTTTTTTTTGTAAATGTCAACTTTGTATATAAGTAAAAGAAAACGTTAAGAACAAAAAATAGATTTTAAATGTGTCGAACAACAGTTATTTTTTATAAACACAAATTATTGCCATTATCTTTGAATTATTGCTCTGAGATATTTTTAAAAACTTCAATGTTTTTTTTTTTTGATTTCTACTAAATAACTAAAAGTTAAGTTAAGTTTTAAATTTATATTCATTTATTTCGAAAAAATTATTTAAATTTGCAAAACTTCAATATTTTTGATTACATTTTACAGTATGATAATAAGAGTACTTGAAGTGAAATCCGTTCTATTTTAAAAACATGTAAAGAAAAACAATGCCTTTTTTACTGTGTTTTTTCTGAAATGAAATATTTTAAATTGCAGAGTTTTTTTTTCTAAATGTAAATTATTTTTACAATTTTTATACAGATAATCTTCTTGGTGGCGTCTGATTTCAAAAGCTATCAACCCGGGTTAATTTCTGGGTAGCTGGTCATAGGCTAACTCAAACTTTCATCCCTTAGGGTTCAATAAATGAGGGGGCTCCCAAATTGTGTTGTGCCTATGGTCTGTGTTGTTCTAGATCGGGCCCTGGGTGCAAGCATGCTCCAACGTTATGCACTTCTTTATAATAAATGAATTTAACAAAAATGAATAAACTGCCGGGCGATGGATCAAGGAGTTTTTGTGTGGCTTCCACCTACCCTACCCCCCCCCCCCCCCAATCTGTCATTAGGGCCTCAAAATCTTAAAAACCTATAATTATGCACAGTCAATTACAAGCGTGTTATGTTTATGAACCCATGTTCAAAAAGTTCATAAGAAATTTTAGACATTTTAAAATGGCTGCGGATCTTAGCTACATAATCTTTTTTACTTAAAAGAGTAATATAGTAACTTATATAGTAACTTTTTTAAATTTTGGTTTTATAAAAATTAATGCTGCAGCTTATTTATTAAATTCTTAATGAATGGAGCATTTGGACTAAAAGTTGTTTGTAGTATTCAAACCTAGCACCCAATTTTTTTATAAATGAAATAACATCAGTTAAACTGTATTAAACCAACAATATATTTTTTTAAAGTCAAATAGATTGTAATAGTAAAAAGCAAATGTCTTTTAATATAAATTTTATTTCTCAAACATACTACAAACACTCTAATATGATATATTATATATAGTTATAGTTTATGAACCAATAACTTTTTATGAATCTAAAAACATCTAAATAATAATAAATATTAATAATCTAAAAACAAGACATTTAAAATAGTTTACTTTCCAGAATATCACTCTAATTCTAATATACTTTTCTTTCTATCCAAAATTATCAAATTGTGTGCTCTTGTTCATCTATTAAATTGTTTATTTGTCTGAAATCACACGCAAGTTACCCTACCTCTTTCAATCTGTGATTTCTTTACTTCTATAAAAAATTCTCAATATTATATTAATAATATAATTACTGTTCGTAAAATGTTACGCTCATTGTGGCTTATTATTATTGCTTTTGGTATGATTATATGTAATATAAATATCAACATTGTTTTACTTCTATTTATATCACTATTACTTATTGTTATTGTTTAATATTAAATTTAATATTTATCAATATTATTACTATTATTATTGTTATTATTATATTAATATAAATATAATTGTTAACATTATTACCTCGTTATGATTGTTTTAATATTGTTATTGCTATTACTATATAATTGGTTTTTACTTAAGATTAGTATTAGTACTATTTCTAAATACCCATGTGTATGTTTCATAAATACACATATATGACATATATGTGTGTTTTTTCTTTTAAGCAATTGCAAGTTTCTTAATACATGCAAAGTAAAGTAAGTAAAGAAAACAATACTTTTCAATTAGTAATTTTAGTATTATTAATTAATTTTATTTTTTACTTTTTTATCCTTATTTTAATTGATCTAAGTATAGAATTTTATTTTATTAACCTGGGTAAAAAACTTTTCAGTTGAGAGAGTTGATAGAGTTGCAGCATTTTTAGAGAAATATCAATATTTCCCTAATGTGCTATTAGCAGGTTTTTTTTTTCATTTGTGATTTCATATATTTATTGGACAAAATGTAATAATGTTTCAAAATCACGAAGTCTCTTTTAAGTGAGAAGGTATTTTTAAAACTGCCATGTCTTTTAATGGGTCATTCTATAAGTTTTCTCTGCTTTATAAAGTTGTATGCTTTTTTATTATTATTATTTAATTCAGATATTTGGCGACATAGCTCATGTATTAAAGTCATGTATCTCATGTCACAGTTGACTCAGCAAGAATAAAGATATTGGTACACTTTTGCATTATGAAATACACAAGTTGGCAGTTCCTCTCCCACTGCCACCCAAATGCAGGTAAGTATGCATGCATACACAAGCCTCAAAATTAGTAAAACTAAAATAAGTAATAAATGTTCGACCTTAAACTGTTTTAGGTTGGCATCAGATTACAATCGGCAAACATAAAGCCATTTTTACAAAGGTTTTACTATGAAAGATAAAAACAAGGTCAGCAAAAAATTGCCAACCTCAGGCATTTGCTTGTTATATTTTTGCTTGGTTAGGGTTGGAGTTAGGTACAATAATGTACTGAAATCAATTAATAATTAAATAAGGAATGTGTTTTTAGATACTCAAGTTAAACACTTAATAAAGAACTTGCTGCAATTACTTTCAAAAGATTTAAACTAGACATATTGTTTTAAAAAAAGATGTAAGTTTGTGAGATTTTTTGAAAACACTTAAATATATATATATATATATATATATATATATATATATATATATATATATATATATATATATATATATATATATATATATATATATATATATATATATATATATATATATATATATATATATATATATATATATATATATATATATATATATATATATATATATATATAAATTTTGAGTTTGTCAAATTTATTTTCAAATTTAAAAAATCCTTATCTGTACGTAACAGACGATGGAGACGAAGTGATTATTATGTGTGGCAAAGGATTTTATGACGTTTTTCATTTTCTGACTTCGTGATGAAACTTATTGGAATACACTTGTCATGGACATGGAGAAGTATTGCCGCTACAAGCATGAACAATAATAAAACATTCCGAAGAACAGTTTGTTATTTCAACGATTAGGTTTGTTGTTTAAATGTATAAATGTTTTTTGAATATTCTTATATCATCCTAATTTCAAAATAATGTTTCATTTTTTCCATAGAAAAGGTACTTTTGTAATATTCTTTTATAGTTCAGGGGAAATATTATTGAAATAAAAAAATAGAATCTTATTTTGAATAAAAATAACATTGAAACAAGTTAAAAATGTTTTTTTTTTAAGGAATATAAATTCTTGAAACAAGAAAAAAATAAATGATTTTAAGAATATAAGTTCTTGAAATAAGAAAAAAAAATCTTATTTTAAGAATATAAATTCTTGAAACAAGAAAAAAAGTTCTTATATTAAGAATAAAAATTTTTAAAGCAAGAAAAAAAATTTTTATATTAAAAATAAAAATTCTTGAAACAAGAAAAAAAGTTCTTATTTTAAGAATAAAAATTCTTAAAACAAAAAAAAGTATTCTTTCGTGGCGGACAAGTCATTTTTTTCTTGTTTTAAGGTGGTCCTATACTAATAAAATCAAAATTTTAAAAATGCACTCATATTTTATGATTTTCATATAAGAAATAGTATTTTATATTTAAAGGACAGTAAAGGAAAAAAAAATTATAAAATTTTTTTTGTGGTCAAAATTTGGGGTCCATTGACCCTAAATATAGACTACGCTCTGCGATAAACAGCCTGTAAACTAATAATGTATTGATCATGAAATTTTCACAGCTTTTTAATATCAGATGATTACACTCACCCTGCCAAAATCAAATAATTTAACAAACTATTGAAGCTTTTGTAAGAAAACCGGTTTAAGGTCTAACAAAGAAGCCCCAAACAAGCTTAGACCTTATTTGTAGAACCAGTTAACTAACATTAATTCGTTTGGTAAGGTTAATGTGCATATATATATATATATATAATAAACAACTCTAAAAATTTCAATACAATCACACAAACCAATATCAAGATCGTAGCGTGTAAAAAACTCATATATTGAGAAAAACAATAATAAAGATTTTTAATGAAAAAATAAAAAAAATTAATATATAAAAAGGTCGAAAAACAAAACAACTTGAACATTATTAAAAACACAGAAAAAAAAAAGTCAAAGTTTCTTTTTGTCTATAGATTTGATAAAACAATATACAATTCCAGAAACTTCCATAAATCTAGCAGAACCTTCGTGATTACTTAAACAATCATGGGTTTTTCATTAAGTTCTGGATTGCTATCTTTTTTTGATCCCCATGATGTACAGGCATTGCATATTTTTGAAAGAACTGGATAGTCAACATATTTCCCTGAGTCACTAGC